ATATGTGACACATTTGTTGAGAGTTCTGAGTCTATAATAAGACCAGGTTATTGACTTTATTTAAAAAATAAAAATAAAAGTGTTACTATGGGAAGCTATAGGCTCCACATGATAAGTCTCAGACATGGAGTTGTAAAAGGGCATAAAGACATCAAAAGGGCAAGCAGACAGCCCCCTGTCGATACCCTGTACTAAAAGTGATACCTTCAGTATATTTTAAACAGCAAAGGGGGGTACTTAATAGCAGGGGCAGGGGCGAGAGACCCCTCATTTCCTCTTAAAGAGATCGCCTTTTATTAAGATTTGATTTATCCTCTCAAAATGGCTCCATGTCACACTTCACTAACTTTCATTTCTTGGCAGAGTCAAGCAACGGATCAGTTTTGCGTCAAGGGTACTCAAATGGTACATCAAATCTTCATCTATATTTCCATGATGGGGTTTCGGCTGTGGATAAAAAATGATCGGGTCCAGAGAAAGGCCCTATGGGTCAATGGCTTTGTCTATGTCTTCGGACGTCAAAATGTAAATGGAGTGGCTGTCCATGCCTCAGTGTTTTTCGATATGCCTTTCCCTTTGGCTGTTGAAAAATATCCTTATCTATGAGAAGCAGGTGATAGATTTAGACCAGCACGTCTCTACAGTGCTGTGCTCCCATCTACTCTATTGATATCTCACATCTACTAAGCAATCCAAGCTACAGGAAAAAAAAGTACCCACACCCTCTGGGTCTCATAGCCCCACATCATGTTGGCTCTACTTCCTGTAGGATCACCTCTGGGGTCGCCGCAATGAATAACATCTATCAACGCCCTGAAGTGGAAGCCAGGAGCTTCTGGAGGCAAAAGGCTTTAGTCCTCAACTCAGAGAGCCTACAGCAACAGTCCCTATCTGATATGTGACACAAGCTTGCACATGTGTGCGTGTGAAACAGTACAGGAGAACAACTGCTGGAGAGGTTGAGAGACAACAAGAGAGAGATAAAGCGATGGGTACAACATATGTGTGAGCAAATTAATTGCTAAGGGAATTGCGATCACTATCGCATCCTGTGATGTAATTTAAGAAACAAATGGGTGATTTGCCACCAGATCAGGGGAAAGATGAGAAAATAGCTACCAGGCTGAACATATATGGCTGTCTACATCAGGGTGATGTGGATAACAAACACATAAGAAATAAGTATTAAAAGATCATATAAGTCAAAAAGGGGTTAGGGAATGTAAGAGAACCATTCTTTATCGTTGCCACCGTCTCCTTCTTACAGACACTTCCCTTTAGTCTTTTCATCTGCCTCCTTGCTCATTTATCCCCTTTCTTCCCTTTAAAATTTCATGAGAGAAAATAGGTAATTTAATCTTCATTAAACTTACAGGGGGCCCACTCTCTGGCCTGACCGGCTGAATTAACTGCGAGGCCTCGGGGGATTAGACAGTTGGGCTGAAATTCCGTAACCCTGACAAGCATTATATCATTGCATCTCTATTTTTTAATGGGAAGGAGATGATCCCTCCCTCTTCAATGTCAAATAAGTCCTTAAGAGGCTTACTATATAGAACACAGGAGGGAACTTTTGATGCCCTGACTTGTGAAGGTGAAGAGAGTAGGGCAGAGGAAAGGAGATAGGTCCTGGTTTGGGATTGTAATGACGTTGACAAGGCAGTAAATAAATAAGATTAGCTTGGTCCTCTTTGAAATCTGATTGATGTGTCTTTTGGGATGCCCCCCATGAAAGACCTACTGAGTCTGTGGCTTTCATCCCTGACCGAAAATCGATGAGCCAGGATGTATGAGAAGCTCCTGCCCCCTACCCACCAATCTCTTGCAGGATGCCCAGGTAACTGTCTCACAATAAAGGGGAAGAGTATCATTTATTTACTATCACTATTCAAGTAGAACTTTGACATATAAAGCGCACTGTCTTCAAAAGAATATACAGTGTTCAACCAACATGATTCAACACCACTGAGTACTTGATAGATTATCTTCCTGAAATGAGACTGAACCCACAAAATAAATGCTTTTCTGGTCTCCATCAATCCATCCAGCGTCTGTGTGCTGAATTAGGACTGGCTGGTGTAATTGCATAACACATGAGTATGGCCTCCCGGGTTAGGTTTTCCATCTTACACAAAGTGGAGACAAGGAAATGGGAAATGCTTCCGGAATTGGGTGTAATTGTGACTGGCGGCGCCTTGAATTGTGTTCTGTCTGACACATGAGGTAGTCTACGGCAGTATAGTTTAGCCTGAAGGACGACAAAAACTACACGCCAGGTTTAAATGAACTCCTTTGACGTAAGTGGAGATTCTTGTGAGCGACTCTCTCTGGTGCCCGCTGCTCGTTTGAGGATGACAGAAGGTTAATCAAGCTTTAAAGCATGAGATTACAACAGGCATGACAAGCAGGATAGAATAGATTTGGCACACTGTCTGATACAACTACTCGAGGAACCTTCTCCACTAATAAAGTCAGGGACTGAAACGCTGTCATTCTGCACGTCAGAGAGAAAGCAAATATGTACCCAAAAAAGAACACAAACATGTTTGCTGCTGTACTGATCCGAAAGTCAAAACTTAATTTGGTAAATACTGACTAGACCTTGAAAGTTTCTCCATTTACAAAAACCCAACGTTTTTAGTGGCGGGAATGTCTTTTGTCACCAAATTGTCCGTCGCTGGGGAACTTAACTGTTTATTTTTTACAGTCCCTTAAAAAACTGCCTTTACCTCAAACTGTGTGTAATGGTTTTTGATTGTCCCTCCGCAAGCTTTCTAAATCTGATCTGGAAACGAGTTCAATCGCTATAGAGCATAGGGGGAATATGTTTCATCTCATGAAAGGGGACACAAATAAATCTTTAGGCACATATTCCCCCTATGCTGTATAGCAACTGAACTTATTTCCACATTCCATTGAGCCTGCATGTCAAAAGGATTTCCCCCTCTCATCACCTCAGAGTAGAGCATCCATGCAGCTGTTTATCAAACCATACTTTAGGTTCCATATCAGTAAACAGGGACCCACAGTGAATAATACATTTTGGTAGCATAGTGATGTGTACTAGCAGAAAAAGTGCACTGGGAAGGGGCTGATGCAGGGAGAAAGCCATCATGAGAAGCACAGTTGTCTAGCAAGTATAATAAACTAGGTTGCAGTCATACAGAATTGTATATTTGATATCAGTCAAAAACAAAGAAAGCATTCATAACCCTCATGTTCATTCAAACATTCAACCACGTCTAACCAGCGATTGTCATTTAGTATGTCCATAAGCTGTGCAAAAGCTGGCCAGAAGTTTGCTTTGAGAAGATGTTTTGCATAGGGGTGAGTCTAATTTTACTTAATTGGTACTCCTGCATCCTGCATACTAGAACTCATATCCACCAACAAAGTATTCCACATCTTTAAAGACAACTTTCATAGCTATGTGTCAGCGAACCAATGTCCTCTCCTTGCTTTGCTTAAATTACCTTAAGTTTCTTCTTCTGATTTGAACTACGGTTTTTCTGAGAAAATACATATATATAAAGACATTTGTTTAGAGAAACACTCAATATACTTTTGACAGATACTCCATTAAGAAATGAGCATAATGTCAGGCACTTGGACATGCAAACACAACAGATCAAATATATATAATAGCGAGAGACATTTTTGAAACACGCAGCCGAGTTGCAGCCAATTCATTCTAAGCCACATTTGCCTGAAAGTAGGCCTGCACAGCATAGCTTACAAGACAAGAATCCTTCAGAAACAGGCATACAAGTATCCAGGTTGCTTTGCACATCAGTGAGACGATGAAATAAAAATAAAGAAATATATCACACAAAACCATTATTTGTATACTGTGTTTCCAGCAGAACATTTCCTAAACATTGCCACAAGATAGCAAATGATATCATGCTGTGACAACATAGGCAAACAGGAAGAGCAAGACAATGAGACGATAACTAGAGCTGCTCTACAAGGCAGAAATTATGCATAGTAAATCAAAAATGATTTCCTTCAAGTAAAGTGACCGCTGCCAGGATTGTATTAGTGTGACAGGATTAAACATTTCAGATCAAAGGGCTAACACAAGGGCAACTTTAATAATAGTGTACTTAACTGTATTGGATCTTAAAGGTATTGAATGTAAGATTGACATCATGTCGTTCAGCAGCATTATTGTCCATTACAGGCTGTCCAGTAAAGAGTTTCCTTCTCTTGTACTGCACATGCTAATTGTATGCTATGCTTAACAAATATGTATTACTGGTTTTGAATTATATTGTAATATGTTTAAGTTATATGTGTTATTTGAACCTGTTATTTGTAAAATTGTTTCACATGCTTTTATTCTAATGAACACAGGGCATCATTTTGTTTGTGAATTCCTTTTGGCCATTAACAAAAAGCATTACTTTTTAATGTGTTTTCAAGAAACTAGGGTAATGTTATCTTATGCCATACTTCTGCTGTGGCAAGACTTAAAGTGGCATGTTGCATTTCTTTTGTATTGTCTGCTCTAAAATATATACATGTGCTAAGAGAATTGGTTCCTTACACAGATCATAAGGGAGAGAATAATATCAACAGAAAGCTCTACTTGTGGTCTTTGCTAAATACTTACTAATACAGACCAGTAATTAGTCAATGTTTTCATTTTAGACATCATGTCTCCCTATGAATCATGACTGCGAGTCTAGTTTTACATTTTGATTCCTTAAACAACTAAAGTTGCTTTTTTTTCTCAATGAGGAGCTGCGTGTTAATAGGAAGCAGACAAATACATTGAATTTAACACTTCCATGGTTGCTTTTTTACATAGAGTTAATCTTACATGTTATACCTTGTCAAACTTAGTCAAGTTCAGTAACACAGCACAATTCTCTGCATGTTGTAGACCAGCTCAGCTTAAAGAAGGAAGGACTTGTGAGTTATCTAGCAAAGAGAAGTGCAGCAAGAGGCAGGTTCGTGCTCTATGTGGGTTAACAAAGGTATTTTAAAGCACACACCTAGTGTTCTGTTACCATAGTTAGCACCCGGCCACCGAGAGGATGGACTGGAAGGGCTTTGATCACCTGTAACAATGTTGGTGATAACAATAAAAAAATAAAACAAGAAGAAGGGAAGGATGGAGAAAAGGGGAAAGAGAAAAGGCCATCAGAGGTGACACATTGCAGATATAAGGCAGGACATATCCACTCCCAGAGTTTTGTGAAAAACACATTTTCTTAAAAAGCTGCACACACATTTTTACACAGACACAGACTGAAGTTAAATCCAATCCCAAGAAAGAAAAAGATGTGAAGAAAGCAGCTGGTTCTTTTTTAATGATAGGCAGCATTATAGGTGTTGACATAAGAGTGAAGTGTGTGTGAGTAAGTGTCAGAATTATTTTTGATGAGGTGTATAATGAAGTTACATGATCTGTCATGCATTATATATTTAGACATGGTCTTTGATCAACAAAAACATGAACACATCATTATGTATCATAACTTGCATTGCATTGCCCATGATCATAGCATAAAGGGTTGTTTAAGTGTGATAATGTGACCCAGGCAGTGTTAGAAAAAGCCTGACAATATGTCCTGGCCTTGACATCAAACAGGTAACTTTCCCCCCTTACTTATCTGTAAATAATGACCTTCTTTATATCAATTCAAATGGACCATATATTGTACACCATCTGAACATATATCTTATTTGACTAATTCTGCTTATAATAACAATAGATAATCAGACATGACACTAATTGTCACTTTAAACAAAGAGTACATGAACACATCATTATGTATCAGTTATTATGCTCCAAATATCTGGAACAAACTCCCAGAAACCTGCAGGTCCGCTGCAAATCTTACTACTTTTAAATCCAGGCTGAAGACTTTTCTTTTTGCCGCTGCTTTTAATTGAACTATTCATATCTTAAACTGCACTGTAACTTTTATCCATGTATTTTTTCTTTTAATGTTTATTTTATTATCTTTTCTTTTTAATGACTGATTTTAAATGCCATTTTCTTAATGTCTTCCATTTTTGTAAAGCACTTTGAATTGCCTTGTGTTGAAAGGTGCTATATAAATAAACTTGCCTTGCCTTGCCTTGCCTTGCCTTACATGACAGTCGATTTGCAATTGTAAATCCCAATTGTACATTTTGCCCACTAACCCTTTTATAATATATATTAGACAGAAAATTACTTGCTGAAGCTTAAAATGATATGTTCATTTGTATTGCTCGCTTTGCAGTGTGTAGCCTGTCTATTGCAGACTCACCTTATCCAGCTATGGTCTGATTTTTCTCTCCTCTTTTTTTTCTACCATGATTGCAACTGTGGACATGGCAGCACCTGTGGCTCTTCCACAGAACTATGACTTGCATATGAATTGACCTTGGCACCCCGACCAGGTGGAACTCCCCATGGTACAGGCCATTCAACGTGGCAGAATGAAATGTTTTAACACCAGGATTACACTAAATCAGCCTCGGTCCAACTGCAGCCAGCATGGCTACATTATCATAAGTGCTTTATGAATGGCAAAGGGACAATACATTGCTAATGACCTGCACTGGGCCACACATGTACTTGTTTCTGTGACAGCTTTTCTTTATTGTACATATGTTACTGTTTAATGTGTGTACCAATCATGAATCCTTGGAACCAGACAAAAGACATAGGACTACACACTAAGTATATAAAAACTGTAGAGCAAAGATTGTTGCATGTGATAAAAAGGAAACTATTAACAACTAGAAGGGTCAGGTGGTCCTTTCTGCACACAGGTGAGAGTATAAATTGGCACATACCATTTCGTGGTGTCCTTTTTCTCCGATCACGGAAGGCAGCTCCGGACTGCAGGGCTTCCATTAGGCTATCCATTACACCAGTCTCATCTCCCTCTGTAAGAGAACACATGATAGAGGCAAACATGTTTACTGGACCAAACATACATTAACATAACTAAGTGAATTACATAATAACATGAATATACTGTAGGTCTTTACATGTACAAACGCACACACACACGACTGGTCTAATTGTAGGTATTCTGGAGTGGAAACAATGGATGCCCTCTAACTAAAGGTGCATAAACAATCACCTTACATCAAAGCAAGAGTGAGCTGAATGAATAAACAAGTCTGTTATAGAGCACAGGCCCGAGTGAGACAGAGGCCTGTCACTCAGGCCTGTCCTTTTTTCTTTTCAGTAAACAGTTTTAGAGGAGGAAAAATACACTTAGACTTTAGCAACTAATACAGGCAGAGGAGCCTCAGGATGAAAGCATCCACTGATGGTCATTGACAGATATTCTTTCTGTGGCTAACGCAGGGGAGCTAAGTGCTCTTTACAAAGATTTAGTGGGGAGCCGCTCGATACCCGGGCGCTCTATCATTGTTCAGTCAATGACACCAGGACCGGCCTTCGAAAAACTTTCCCCCTGCCCACGGTTTTAGCTGTCGTGTGGATCCATGAAACTAGAGAACTGGAGGCGGTTGGCCTGCATGGTGAAAAGACAGGTAGGAGACACGTAAAGTGCTATGAGGCCAACAGCATGACAAGTTGTGCCCACACTGCACATGCAGCATATGGAAAGAGAGTTCAAAAATAAGCTTAGGTTCCATATCTGGGTCATCTATCTTTACGCCCCAATACTAATGAGTCAGAGGGACACCCTTTTTATCATTGTGGTCCAGAACAGACATTATTTTAAACTAGGATCATTAGGGTGACTTATTGTGGAGCTGGAGACTTGGCCATCAATTATTTTCCATACATGAGTGAACTAGCTCTTCCCTATGTTTACCATCGGAGTCCAGGCATCTTGTTTTTGTACTGCGTTAAGAGCTAGAGCAGAAGGGTAATATTCGAAAATAAGTGGAGACAACTGCTACTTTCAGCACAAAGCACTTTTTCAGACACTGTGGTGATCAATCTTTTGTTATTCTCGTGTTCCCAAAAAGACACGACACTCAGCCAAATTGAATTTATGAACAAAACACGTTGACACAGAATGCTACACGATTAATATAAAGAAATGGCACATATTTTGCCATTATCAGAGAAAGTAGGGCCTGCTTATGCTTTCACCTTCTCCTCCAGCAACAAACCAACCAACCTGCAATCATTGATGCAAGTGAACGAAGACAGAACAACTAAGAATAGAAACACATTCTTATGCAAATAAAAAAAAAAAGCAACTCTTCACTCATACTCACACACATTTCTGTCTATATCTCATTCCTTGTCTTTCTTCCTCAAGTCCTTCCCAAGGGCTACTTATAAATCAAAGTATATGTTCCGGCTGTGTGCTGTGCTTAAAAGCAATTCCGATTAAATCAAGCTTAATTAGACCAGCTTTATCAGAACAAAACCAAAGCTGAGCCAAGTAGTGCTTATCTCAAATTGCAGCACTATACCTTAGATAACAAGCTCATTGGTTTAAAAAGGGGGAGCATGGGTTTTGTCTACTGTGGACCCAGGTGAACAACTTGCAGCTTCTATAACTGTATCAACTCCAACATCTCTAGCTATCTTCTTCTTATGTAGGCTAGCAAGGACACATGGTGTGTCTGACAGAAGGTAGAACGTGTTAAGTGGCAGGTAAACATTTATCTACAACCACCTTGGCACAATAAACTTTCTGACAGCCCCTTCTTCATGGAGACCTAGACATCACAGGGGGCACCTGACACTTTGATCAATTTGTCCTACTTCTAGCTTAACTGTAGCACAATTCATCATTTGTAATGGCCAGGACTTGGGAGCGGTAGTAGACTGGGGTTCAGAGAGAGGAATGCAGACACAAAGAACCACAATGACTAAAATGGGAAACATACTCCCAAGTCACTCCACGGTGCTCAATTAACTATGTCCTATTGGACCAGAGCTTAAACTCGAGCAGACCTTACTCGAAGCAAGAAAGTGTCACAAATGAGCTTTCACACTATATGAACTTATAGTCCTATATATGCATTTAAGTGCCTTTATTTAACAAAGACAAGGGAGCCCTTAGTTGCAAAATAAATCAAACTGAATATTATTTAACTAGACTTATTCCAGTAATCCTCAGAGCAAACATAATTTATTGTATTGCATTGCCCACTTTAGTAGACATTTTTGCCTCATTCCTGCAATTGACTCTTGTCTTATTTTGAGCTGTTAAACTTAGGGCAACTATTCATCCGCTACTCATTAGCACCAGTGGTAGATTGCATGCTGGGGAATTCAGGAAAGCTAACCTTTTATGCCCAAATATCTTTCTCAAGAGGAAAGATCCCCTTTGCTCACAGGAAATTGCTTTCTAAATGGGTTAAGATGGGCTAAGACCCAAGACATTGACAAACCCTTCCAGTGATGAAACACCTTGGTGGGCACCTCAACAAGACAGCCCCGGGGTCCTTTAATGATCTTATTAAAGCTTGTGGAAGTGCTTAACATGGTTGCGGCTTTTGCACTTTTAGGTACTTTCTTAAATAGTTAAACCTTTAAGAGCCGAAATAAAGCTATGTGAAACTTTACCTCCCAGAGAGAGATGGTGTACCTATTCCATATCTTTCCCTTTGATCCATGCCAACATCCAGTCTCTCATTCACCCTCTCCTATACCTGAATATCAGGTGGTACCTTGACCCAGAGGCTGTGCCAAATGTGACAATGAGCCCTAGGGATTGGCTCACTCGGCTGTATATTTACAAGAGGTACTATCACATTTTCTAATTAGGAGGCATAACAAGAGCAATGTGCTCTCAGCAGGATTGGCATGAAAGAAAAACAGATTAGTTTTTCCCTAATAAAAAAAAAATGGCTGCAATGTACCATTCATCAACCCTAGCAGCTGAACACAAAGTGGAATGTCAACAGTTGCAAGGAAGTAAATGGAAGTATATGAAAGGAATACGTAAATATATTGTAAGTGTGACTATCAGAGAGGAAGATGTAGAGGATATAATGAGAGAGGAGGAATAATATAGGGAGAAAGACAGCGCCAGGGAGGCAGCGAGTGAGAGAAGTGAACAGGGTTTCTCCTGGTGTGCTTGGTGGAGTGGGTTATTGAGAGAGACTAGTGGAGCGAGGTAAGACACAAGGTCGTAACACACCTTCCTGGATACTTGACGGCCTGAGCCGTGTGACATTTAATTATTCCTAAAACATATACTGCAGTATGCACGCACAGGCACACATACCCTTGCCTATGCTTTTAAAACCTGCCTATACATTTGAAGTGATTCGGATGCATGTTCTGTATTTGTAAGTCTATTGGTTCGACTGTATCATTTATGGGACATACTTTTCAGCTGACAGATTCGTTTTTGACAAACAAAGACAGTTAGGCATGACGAGCGTGAGGCAGATAGAAAGTGTACTCGACTAATGTTAGATGCTAGATGACCTATACTCATGGCTGATCACGGCAAGATCATTTAGAGGAGACAAAGGAATCTAGCCAAGTCTTTCAGACAACCAATGCATCAGGAAGCCTCCATATACAACTTTTGAACCTCAGTCAAGTACCATTTAGGAATCAATCAAACAAGCTACATTTATGCAAAATCTGACATCTCATTTGTTTATTTATACTAATTAAAAAATAAGTACATAACTGCAAAGTAAAAGAACAGCTGTTGCCTCGCAAATGTGTCAAAAGCATTTCAATCATCCAAGCAAAGTAAATAGACTAAAATGCTGGGCTTTTTTTTTTTGAAACACCAAAGGCATGGCATTCCTATAATTATGCAGCAGTGTCAACAAAGCCTGTTCATAAATTCAATTTGCTATCTGTCATCTCCTGCATGTTGTGCAGGGGAGAAAAAACACAGTGGATCGATTGAGAACTCAATTTCTGATGGCTCGCATGCAGCCTTCGTGATTCATGGGGGAAAAGAGAGACAAATAAGTTCTAGAATTTGAAAAAGCTTGTGTCTGGTACGTGTGGGTTTCTAATATATCGGCACATTATGACATCCTTTATACCACAAGTGAAAATGGTAGCAACAGTGGCATGTTAATTGGATAGATAAATAACAGTACGAGCATACAAAGTAATGACATTTGTCAAAGTCACATATTTTAATCAATCACAGCTACATATCCTCTGAATTTATTAAAGCAAAGCACTCTGCTTCCTAAACAAATGAAAGTGTTTGACATAAGGAACATCAGGAATAAGATATATGTCTCTTATCCGCTTCTATCTACTATCCTTCCAGTAGCCAATCCCTGAGTCTAATTTGCACTGTAATGAGATCTAATGAGTGCTTACAGGCCTTGTCCTTGATGTATTAAAACCACTGGAAGAGAAGAAAAGAGTAAGAGTTTAACCTCACCCCAGTCGCCCCCCATGACTCCAGGAGAGTATATGAGAGAGAAACGGATGAATAAAGAGCAGAGGAAGGGTTTGCTTGATGCAGACTGTTTTTGAACACATTTGAGCCCATCTGTTCCCCTACTGAGAGTCACCTGTGCAATTAACCTGGACCATTAGCCATGAAACAAAAACCTCATGGAGGGGGGGGTTGTTGCTGTATGGCCAGGTGGAGAGGCAACAAATACACGTTGTTTTAATCTTGCCTCCCTCTCTCTACTCTAGCACCTGGTTTTGTGTTACTTTCACATCTGAATTCAGGCTCAGTCCTCTAGACCTACACAACCACCTGCATTACTCAATTCCCCCCTCCTCTACTCTCTCACTGTCTGGCTTTGAGGGGAGTCACCCCCCCTCCCTTCACCCTGCTTACCTGCAGACCCAGGCAGACAGAGACCATTACTGCCACAGAGAGCAAAGAAAACACAAGTGCCGGAAGGACAGCAGTCATGCACCTGTTACGTGTCCGTCCTTTGTTTTTCACTCTCTCCTTTTTATTCCATCGCCCTGCAGTCCAAGCAACAAACTCTTACAAAAG